ATAATATAATAATAATATAATAATATAATAATAACATAATAATATAATAATATAATAATAATAATATAATAATAAAATAATAATATAATAATATAATAATAACATAATAAAATATTTTAAAAAAAAATAATAAAATAATAAAATAATAATATAATAATATAATAATAAAATAATAAAATAATATAATAATAATATAATAATATAATATATAATCATAATATAATAATATAATAATAAAATAATAAAATAATAAAATAATAAAAAAAAAAATAAAAAAAAAAAATAAAATAATAAAATAATAAAACAAATAAAAAAAAATAACATAATATAATAATAAAATAATATAATAATAATATAATAATATAATAATATAATAATATAATAATATAATAATAATATAATAATATAATAATATAATAATAATATAATAATATAATAATATAATAACAATATAATAATATAATAATAAAATAATAAAATAATAATATATAATAATATAATAATAATATAATAATAATATAATAATAATAATAATATTATAGCATCATAATAAACATACAATAATATAACAATGTAATAAGATGATACTAATAATATACTAATTTAATGTGATAATATAATCAAACAAACATAACAATATAATAATATACCGGATTGGAAAAGAATCGTATACGAATAATATGTTTGTGATGCGCACATTTCAAATATTGACGTTGTATACGTGTCACACATTTCAGATATTTCAGATATTTCAGATATTTCAGATATTTCAGACATCTCAGATATTTCAGATATTTCAGATATTTCAGATATTTCAGACATTTCAGATATTTCAGATATTTCAGATATTTCAGACATTTCAGATATTTCAGATATTTCAGATATTTCAGATATTTCAGATATTTCAGATTTTTCAGATATTTCAGATATTTCAGATATTTCAGATATTTCAGATATTTCAGATATTTCAGATATTTCAGACATTTCAGATATTTCAGACATTTCAGATATTTCAGATATTTCGGATATTTTGGATATTTCAAACATTTCATTGAAATGTTCAACATAATTGAAATATCAGAAAAATCTCTGAAATCTCTGAAATCTCTGAAATATCTGAAATATCTGAAATATCTGAAATGTCTGAAATATCTGAAAAAATATCTGAAACATCTGAAATATCTGAAACATCTGAAATATCTGTTTTGTCTGAAATATCTGAAATATCTGAAATATCTGAAATATCTGAAATATCTGAAATATCTGAAATATCTGAGATGTCTGAAATATCTGAAATATCTGAAATATCTGAGATGTCTGAAATATCTGAAATATCTGAAATATCTGAAATATCTGAAATATCTGAAATATCTGAAATATCTGAAATATCTGAAATATCTGAAATATCTGAAATATCTGAAATATCTGAAATATCTGAAATATCTGAAATATCTGAAATGTTTGAAACGAAGGAAAGCTTCCAAGCAGTAAAATGTAGATCATAGAAGGGCCTGTTGCCATATATATATATATACACTAAACAAGAAAACAACAACGCACACACACACACACACACTGGGATCATAACCACTTACCCGACTTAGACCAGGCGCCTAAGGTACACGGCGACCGAGCTCCTGAGGCTGCATGGCCACAAAGATCAAGGCCCCCACCGGCACCCAGCTGACCGCTGCCACCAGCCCTGTGGCAGCGGCCACAAGCACCTGCCTGCCGGCGGTTTGAGGCGTCGTCCCCCCCTTCGGTCCACTCCTCCCGATCTGGACACTTAGGGTCTATGTTGCCAGGCTTCCTGTGGACTTGTTATTTTCTGAATTTCGGTCTGATTTGGGCCTGCCACATCGACAAGTCCTCACAGCACGCCCTCCCGTTCTGAGAGTCCTTAATGTTTCTCCTTACTGCCCCCAAACCGAAGCCCCTGGGACTCTGGGTGGAATCGGGTTATTTATAGCCCCCCAAGATGGGTGTGTCCTTCTTGGGGTACTCCTTTTGTGTGTGTGTGTTTTGAAAAGGAAGAAAAATGCAAAACCACCATTTTGGGGGGGGTCCCCACAACAACAAAAAAAACTCGTATAGTGGCTGTATATTTCGCATGAAAGGCCTGGAGGTACGGGTGTGGACCCATCAGGAGGGTTGGTAGTATCGGTCCAGTCAAAACTTGAACGCGTATATGGCAAATGTCGAATCATGCTGATTTTGGTTACCTGAAACTGAGCAAGCCCTGCACCTGGTTTGCGTACCCTTTGACAAAAAGCGACAGCTCAAAAGAAAGCGAGGGAATCAAACTTGAGCCAAGTCACCTACGGTGGATTCCATAAACATTGCAATTGGACCAACCACATCCAAACGCAGATCCCTGGAAGGGCAAGAAAGCCCTCCAACCACACCAACCAATCACATTCCCTTGTTCCCCTACTTGCAAGTATTCGGGAATGGACCTTTGGTGGACAGCTGGATGTATACAACCACCATCAACCACCATGTTCGAGGGTGCTCCAGCCAAGAAAGTAGTAAACAACGTTTGGGTTTGAGGGTTGGATGCCTGTCATGCAACGCATTTGACCGGCTCTTTGGAAGTTGCTCAAAATGGACTTCGGACCCACTTCTTTGTTGGTATCTAAATGGAGGCCCCAACCAGCACAGTATAGGATGTGGACCGACTTCTTTGACAAAAAAATACTGTGGATGGACGGAATCCTGCCTGCGCCACTTTGAACCCATGGGAAGCCATGGTTGCTGGGTTTGTGAACGCTGGCGCGAAATGGATTTCGCGCCATCCACAGTTGGAACCCTTACGACTTACGCTAGTTGAAAATCCCTCGCAAGGGCGTTTAGACAACCCTCCCCAACTCCAAGAGGGCTGGTCTTCATTTGGCCTTGGCACCCCCCGAAAAAAACGGATGTTGGTGTTCCTGGTGGTGTCACTAGCACACCCCACGTCCCCACGTCCCCCCGTCCCCGTCCTCCCCCCGTCCCTCCCCAGGCCCCGCGGCCCCGCGGCCTGGCCGCGGGCGAGCGCCGCAGGCGCCCCATGAGCCCGGCCACGCTCTGGCCGCGGGCCAGCTGCTGGAGGCCTTCCAAAGGCACCTTGGTCGATTGGCCATGGGGCAGAACCTATGGCTCCATGGGGTGGATGAACATCCATTTGCCACCTATTTTGGCACCTGCGTCGCTTGGTGGCGCGCACAGTCGCCGCTTTGGGGCCACTCAGTCGTCGGATGTTTGGGGTCACTCAACCGCTTTGGGGCCACTCGCCGTTTTTGGGGTCACCCAGGCTTTGGCCCCCTTTAAAGGAAACCATAGCATGGATGATTTTCTTGGGGGTCATTGTTGAGGAACCATTCTCGGGTGTACCCACTTGCTGGTGCGATGGGAATGAGTTGGAATGAACCGGAAGGGGATTCCCGAATAAAGGAAACCACCAGTTGGACGGTTTATGAGCCTCATTCCCTCAGTCCCTGCTGAGCACCAGCCAGACTAGCTGGCAACCGGTCAACCGTCTGGTTTCCCGACCCTGTCGTTGTGGGCTTTCTGCAAACAGTTATTCTCCTTTTCTTTGCCAAACCCTGGTTTCCCAACCCTAGGTTTTTTTGGGAGGGGGCGATTGTTTTGTTGGTTGTCTTAAAGAGAAACCGAAAAGCAAGCCGCCAGCGTTGGTCTCCAAATCCCCGATTTTGACACATGCCCATTTGCCCACCTTCTGCCACAGTCGGTAGCAAAGGTTTGGCCATGGTCAATGGCCTAGATGGCTGGTAGTTGATGGTATTTGATGCCATATCCAGATGTTTGGTGGTGCTCATCTGCACCTTGCACCAGGTCCTTGAGAGTTGAAACTTGCCCTTGGATGACGGGGAAGGGAGTTCTGGCTTGGCCCAGGTTGACTTGAAATGGACTTTTTTGGGGGTTAAAGCCTAGGCCCCCAAGACGGATTCTTAGAACCAAAGAGCTTCTTGGAAGGGTTAGAAGGGTTAGAAGAACCTTTCAGCGTTTTGAACGACCGGAGAAAACACCCGTCCTACTAGGGGTCCAGTGATGAATACCGAAACAAAACACACACCCCTATTCAAACAGGGGTGTATTCATCTGGCTGTCAAAAATATGTACCCAAAATGGAACCCTGGTAAATGGAAACTTGGACTACAACCTGCGGTCCAATTCCCGGTGATTTAATTTCGACCCGCCATCCGGGGTCAACCTTGCCCTAGCGCTTCCCCTTCCAAAGCTCGTCATCAAGCCCCGCCTCCAAGTCAATTGCGCGCCGCACAGAAGGATTTGGAGGCCGACGTCTTGGTCGAAGGTGCGAGCTCCAGCAAGGCCTCGAAGCCTTAGGGTCAAAAGCAAAACCTGGAGGTCGGTATGTCTTTACCCCAAAAAGGGAATGGTGTCCTTTTTAAAAACGCTCCAAAAGGAGTACCAAGAAAAAAGACACATCATGTAAGAATCAAAGGGGCGGATATACTCACATTTTTTGTGGCTGGGACTGTCCCTTACTGCAGTAACCTTCACTTGCTGACTGGCTAAGACCCCGCGCATGGCTCAGGGTGCCAGCGAGCACCATAGGAGCCATCGCTCCAGGAGAGCGAAAGTATGCCAAAAAGCCGCTCGGAATGCTGGTCACATGACTCCCCTTTTGCTTCTCCAGTGCGATTGTAAGCCAAAAGATGGCTGCTGGTTGGCCTGTTGGTCTGGTTGGCTGGCTGGCTGGTTGGTTGGTTGGTTGATTGGTTTGGCTGGTTGGGTTGGGAGGAAAAATACTTGCAAGCTCTGCCTTAACCCCCTCATCAAGCTGGCCGATGGGCCGCTTTGAGACACCATGTGGATCAATCGCATCGCTTGCCGCTTCAACTGAACCCCTCGTCCAGGTGAACACCCAGGTCTATCTAGGCTACTAACACAACCCATGAAACCAGGTATGTGGAGGAACCAAAATATATGGCCAATAGGAATCGAAAATCAGTGACGGGGCGCTGGCTCCTTTTTCAGGCATCGCTTTTTCGTGACACAACCGAAGAGCCGCTTCTGCCAACAGAAACGGAAGTCCAGGAGTCTTTGTCCTTGCCGTATGCTCATCTACTGCTTGTAGCTGAGAGGCCTTGGCAAACAAAGCCAACCCATCAGCCAGAACAGAAATGCAAAATCCAGCGAGCCGAAGGCGCGCAAAGAACACTAACATCTCATGGGCCGAGAGGCATCTTGGCTGCTGGTTGCAGGTGCCTGGAAGCAAACAAACAGACAATGTGCTAAGTCGAGTCAGTCAGTCAGTCAGTCAGTCAGTCAGTCAGTCAGTCAGTCACTGCACCGTCGCCTCAGCGTCGGCATCCAGCTCGGATCCTTCCTCGCAGCCTTGCTTCTGGCCTGGCTGGGAGGAGGAACCTCAGCATCTTCGCGGGAAGAAGTTCTTGATGCTTGGCTTCCTCTTGGTATGTCCTCACGTGGTATACAGTAATACTCGTGAGTCAAGATCGCTGGGTGGCTGGCTTCAATGGATGCCACACCGATGCCACAACCCACGCCCCAAAACAGGGGTTCCCTATAATATGTCTATCATTTAAACACATCACCCCCAAGGGAAACTCAACTTTAACGGGCCATGGGCATGAATTCTAATTAGGCACCCTTTGGTGCACATCAGATCGGTGGTTGGATCTGGAAGGGAGTTCCAACCGTTCTAATTTCATAGCCATATCCCAAAAAAGGACACCTGGTGCGTAATATTCGTTTAAGTAAAAAAAAGAAAAAGAGAAAAGAAAAAAAAGAAAAAAGAAAAAAGGAAAAAAAGCTATCATATCCGTAAAAGCTAAGCCTGGGGCACAAAACCATTTATGTCCACCAACCATTTGAAAGATGTCCAACCCTTCAAATTCATAGCCATATCTAAGAAGGCGATGCTTAGAACCCACCAAAAAGCACACAACTCATGGACTTCCGGTCCTCAGCGTCACGGCCTTCTCTCGATGCCTCTGCCTCTTGGGGCTCCTCTCGGTCCGAGGTGTTGGCTCGGAGAATTCGGCGGGGGGGGTGTCGATTTGGGGTTGGTTACCCGAAGGAAACGTGCTTTGCTCTTTGGGGGGTTCCCCCTGTTTTGGCGGGTTTAACGGAAAGCTACTAGGAGTATCACACTTTGGGGGGGTTCCCTTTAAAAAAAAGGCTTGGAGGCCTCCCTTGATCTATTCCTGGGGCTGACCGATCTGTTTGTGACAAACAGGCCCTGTTGAATCCTCCGCACTCAGAGCCACAGGTTCATCACGGTCACCATTGCTTCGGTCCTCGGACACAATGCCAGGTCCCTTGCTTGAAAATGGTGTCTTTTTCCAGGGTGTTCAGCTTGGTTTACACGGAAACCCACAACATACCATCATTTGGGGCTCAATCACCCAGCGCTCAAGTTGAAAGTCCGTCCTCAGCCACCTCTTCGGCTAATGTGGGATCAGCTGGGTGAGTCAAAGTCGGCGGGTCTTGAACCGCCTCTTCGCCAGATGCTTCCTCCTGCGCCCTCGCTTCGTGATGGTCACCTTAGCCATTCGTGGATGCCTTGCTAATCAACAATAAATGAGTCACAATCAAACCCAATATTAAGATAGTCCACCCAAAACCATGTAAAGAATTGAAGAGGCGGCTTCACCCATTTATGGTTGGGACTTTCCCTTAATAACCCCAGTCTAACCGAGTTTTGATTGTGGCTCAAACGTCTGAGGGTGCAGCTGGGAACCTTCGCCTCGCTCTCTGCTTCCGGCTTCCCAGCTGCAGCTTCCGGCTCAGCTTTCTCCGCCCTGACCAAATGAGAGATCTCAGCAGGGTCGAGGGGACAAATCAGCCTGAAAGCCCCATCCATGCTCATGTTTGACCGAAGAAGGGCATGCTCCAAACAACACATGTCTGTTCACAAACTCGCCAAATCACCCGGCAAAAACAGGAGCTACAAATGGTGAGTAATGGTGAAATGGACCACAGACTGGAAATGTTAAGCAAACCTCGTCTCCAATGCTTAGGTTTACTCATTCCTAAGCCTCACTTGGGTGTGATTTGGTGGACATCATTGTGATTCATGTCCACCAACCTCTTGGTGGCTCCCTATTGTAGAGTCATTCTAGCAAACACTTCCCCATTCTTTCCAGGGATCCTTCTTTCCGGAAAACCATCAGACCCCGGGGAAACAGCGATCGGTTTTTGGAAAGAACGATGGTTGAGAAGAATGGACAAGGAATCCACCCCTAGAGTCGTCGCCCTGCGGGGCTCATGGCGACTTAGGCTTTGCCAGGCGCCCCACACGCCTCGAACTCGCGACCTTCTCCTTCTGCGCCTTTGCGCGAGCGCAGGGGAAATGGAGGGCTCGACGTGCGGAGTCCAGAGCCCGATGTGCGCGTGAAGGAGGCCCAAAAGGAGCCAGTGGAAAAAAGAGAAAAAAGGACGGCCGGTTCTTTGTCTCCAAAAAAAAATAAAAACGAAAAAATGGGGTGTTGATCAATACTCCTGACCCTCAAAATAAACAAAAACAAAAAAAGCAGCAGCTTCCCCACATGGGGGGGGTGATCACGTTTCCCGACCCTCAAGAAAAAAAAATCGCTATATGGTGATCAATCTTCCTGACCCCCAAATATGGATCCCTGATCCCATGTAAAGGAGCTGTGGATCGGTCAAGATTGGACCAGGGGACCGTAATTTTTAGTCCATGTGTCAATGTACAACGAAGGAGAAAAACATCGCAAGCCCGCCGCGGAAAATGGCGAGATCTATTCAAAATCCTATCTTGGGGGATGGATGGTCACGATCTCCCAAACAAACCAGGGAGACTTGATGGGCTAAACCACAGGCGTCTGCGGGTTTTGAATGGACCTCCATCCGCAATCCTCGCGATCCGGCCTTGGGCGACTGACACCTCGCCTCCGGCAGGTGTCATGAGAACCCAAGTTGGTTCCAACAGCTTGAGGCGAGGGGCCCAGCAAATGTCAAGTCGCGCAGCTTTTTGAAACCAATCGCGGGCAAGTCAACTTCGCACGGGAAAAGTAGCGAAGCCAAGAAGTGCCAGGGGTTCTAAATCGAGGAACGAATTACTCTCCCACCAACATGGAAGTGCAGAGACCCCCTGCTAGATCGCATTTTTGGAAAGGGTTCCTGCACCAAGCCATGCTTGCTGGAGGGTATTGAAAGCCATCTCCACAGATCTGTGGGACCTCGCATTGTCTTGGTGAGAAGCCTCGCTCAGTCGCTGAGCCAGGTCACGGACCACTGCAGCCAATACCTGCAAGCTAAGGCATCGGATCTGACTTGGTCGATCCAACTTTGTCGACCCGAGCGAAAACTCCAATTGCGGCCATCGTGGGTTGAAGAGTCCCGGTCTGACTGGGGAGGTTTTTGTTTTTGCTTCAGGTCTTGGACCTGGCAGCTGGGCGTAGCAATTGTGGAGTGTCCCAGTTTTGGGCCGAAAGTCGAAAGTGCCTTGTGCTTTTCCCCCGAGCCGTTTCACAAGAGGCTCCTTGAGACGCCAGGTCGAGTCCTGTGCGAAAATGCCGAGCTTCCGGCTCGGCCATGCCCATGGGCAGAGTGACCGGCAGCAGCACCAAAGGCGGGGACCCCTGGCGTTGTGAGTTGCGTGTTTCTCAAGCCCTTTAGGTGAGCTGCGGCCCAAAACGTGTTGACGTTTGGGTTCTAAGATGGTAAAGGGCAATGGAGATGGAGGCCTGACAAAAGCCCTTCCTAAACCAGTAGAGCCGCCTACTCATGGGACGTTTTTTGGGCGCTCAGGCAGTTGGCTGGGACCCCTCTTCTGAGAAACCCCTGGGCGTTCCAAAAGGAGTCCCCTTTTGGGCGTGGCTGTCAAAATAGCATAACCCCAAGAATGGCGCAAGCCCTGGTAAATGGAGTCAAGGACTGAAACCTGCGGTCCAATTCCTGGTGGCTTCAAATTTCGACCCATACACATTTTGAGAAACTTCGCCGGCGGCTCCCCGCAGAAGAGTTGGAAGTAGATCCCCGTGGCCGCGAGACCTAAGCGGAAACGGCTCAAACGGATACCGGGCGCAGCCTAGGCAACTCGTTCTTGTTGGATGAAGTAAAGGAACAACCAATTGACAACCAGTATTTGTTTGGGGGGGGTCCTCTAAAAAAAGATATGCCCATTTAGGGCAATCAGCAAAAGGGGTGCACCGTTGATTTCCAGTAGCCCAAGGACGGGTTAGATAAATTGGGGTCCTTCAGAATTGGTGACATCCTGGCCGTGTCCAAATCCTTCGGGCAATACCATGTGTTTCCTGGAAGGGGTCTGTAAACCTTCCCGCCTGTCCCTCAAATTGCAAAACTGCTCCTACCATTCTTTCCGGGGCTCCTTCTGTTGGGAAAATGACTGAGTAGTCACTGAGAAATTGGGTGGCTTCGCAAACCAACGACGGGCAGAAAGAATGGGAGATCAAACCTTTGCCCCCGGTTTGAATTAATCTTCCCTCAGTAAGTGTCAATGCCTAGTCTTGGACTAGAATGACGAGGGGTTGAGGTCCCCGACTAATTTGGCGTGCTCTTCCCAGACGGGAAAATGGCTTTGGGTCAAAACCAATGGTACCATTTTGGGGTAGGTGCACCACCCATTTTAGAACCTATTTTAGTGGGGATTGGGATGTTCACTGGGGGTACGATTTGGATTTTGACCCTTGGAACCGCAAGCCACTTTGCACCCTTCTGGCCCAAAGCCACTCCGATCCAGGAAAAAGAGCAGTGCAAAACCCAGGTCGAATTAGGTACGGCTCGTCAAACTAGGAGCGAACCTTCTCCCCCCCCCCTCCCACAAACAAAAAAAGGCGCCATCCACCTCAGCCCCCACCCCCCAAGCGGATGATGTTCTTTATTGATTTGTTTTTTCTTTTTTCTTAGAAGAAGAAAAAAGAGAAACAAATCTTTTAACCAAGGGGGGGTGCCTTCGCCCCCAACAAAGAAGGGCCACAGGGCTCGGATCGACTCTGGGCGCCCAGGCTCCAACCCAGCACCTCATCCACCATGGAATCCTGGCCGGAAGCAAAACAACAGAACACGCGGATCCTCTTCTCCAAACGGGTGATGATTTTACTAGGGTGGACATCAGAATTCGGCGGACTTTCATGTCCACCGACCACTTGTGAGGTGGTTGCGGGGCCCCAAAGCTGGCAACAGCTTCCCTTGGCTTCTCAAGGACCATGTGGTGTTGATTTCGCTAAATCGTGGAAGGGGGCTCCTATTTTGAGAAAACCCCATCTTAACATTAATTGCCCTCCATGAGCAACTGACCAATTTACTGGTGGTTTATTTCTGTCAGGAAATCAAGGATTTTACCCGGGGGCTCACTTGGGATTCGGGAACCAACCAACCCACATTCCAGGATCACAAGAGTCTTCGATGTTGCGCACCCTCTGTCATACCGGGTACAAGCAATAGCATCATCACGCCAACGACTGGAGGTTGTCCAACACAGGGAACCATTGGCGTTGTTGTTGCTGCCTTCCGACCAAAAGTCCAACATCTGAGCCTCAGATGAGCCAAGTGGTTTGCTTTGCCCTGGTTCCCCACCAATGCCCATGGGTTGATTCGATGCGGTTCCTCGCCATTTCGCCCATTCCCAGACCGGAGCGCCCCGGGGCTTTTTCGATCGCTCGCCGCTGGCGCCTCGAGGCTCAGGGCGCCGGGCACCAGGCCCTTGGCTTTCAGAAGCGGCCTCGGTCCGAGCCGCTGACTCGGATCCCAAAAGATCCAAGCTCCACAGCAGCCTTCACAAGGCCAAAAAGATGACGTGGGGTGTAGGACATTCGCGGAAGGTTGTTCGCGCCCCCCCCCTCCCCATTCCGTTTTGGGGGGGGGGAATCTCCTCTTGGTGAACCCTGTTCGGGCTCCAGGAGTACCGCTACTCCTGGCTCGTTCACAGAGTGAGGCCAAAGCAGCAGATATGCGCAAGCACTCCTGCAAGAGTACAGCCACAGTTTCCAGGCCTCAAACTCTGGTCCAGTGCTTGGTGGTAGGAATAGCAGATGGTCATGAGCCAAAATATGGGCTGCCCCAAACATTTGGTGGTGTTCCTTTTAGCTTCCCTTTAAAAACCACAGCCTCCTTTGGCCAAAAAAAAAAGACATCCATTTTGGGGGTCCCCGTATTCTGGCACGTGCGCATACTCAAACCTCATAAAGCATGTCCTGCCAGCCAGCATTCCACCAGCTACGCCACATTGAACTGAGGAGATGATCTGCGGCAGGGGAGATGATCAGAAGTGCGCAGTCTGTGTTCGCGCATGCTCCTTGGGTGCTTTTTCAGGGCACGTTTAGGGGAAAACCGAAAGGATAACCACCACTTGTTTCGGTCCCCATATTTTGACACATACCCACTTGCCGGGCCATGCAAAAGCCGACAAATCACTGGATACTTGACCCCTCATCCATCTTCTGTCTCGCGTCCGAGGCCTTCTGCAATTTCCAGGCGATGCCAGTCGCAACCACCTGCAGAGATGGCTGTGGCTCAAAAAACCGGTACTGTACCAAAGTGGAACCCTGGCAAGTGGAAACATGGACCAAAACCAGCGGTTTGCCCCTCCTGTTTAATTCTGAGCCCCAGTCAGATCAATTCACTCCCCCGCGAGCTCCTTTTCGCATTTCTGCGCTGGCAGGATGCCCGAGCCCAGATTCAAAGGGGTCTGTCGTCCCAAACCAACGCATGTTTGTGCACGCTAAAGCGGGTTTCCTTTAGGGCGCCTTTAGTGCCCGCGAGGGGACTGTTAGGGTTCCTATGTCTCTATGCAACATCACTCAGCTTCCTTTCAAGTGGTGGCTTGGATGGATGGGGGTGGTTGCCCATGTATCATCTACAAGAACCCGGGGTTCAAATCCAAATCCAAACCACCAATCGCGGGGAGGCTGAATTACCCCTGTAGGAAATCTCTCGAAATCTTCCACATGTTGGAGCGCTGATAAAGAGTAGATTCGCACCCTGTCCCACCTGAACCTTCGAAACCAACCGGGACGGGCTCCCCACAGTTCCCCCGAAAAAAAGAAGAAAAAGATCGCCCCTAGGGAAACCCACAAAAGGCTTCATTTCGGGCCCCCCCAAAAAAATTGAGGGTTTAGGATTGGCCAATCCTCTTGGCAAGGGTACACGTGGATTCAACGGCCATCCGGGGCCTTGCAGCTCAGATTGATGGCAGGCTCCACCCACTGCCTGTACCTCGATGATTCGCTCGATCCGGGAGACTGGGAATTTCCGCTTCTGGGCACCAAAATGGCCCTCCCTCCCTCGCAAAGATCCGAGCTGAGCCCAGCACTCCGGAGGGATCACCGCCAAGGCGCTGGGCCTCAATCTGCAGATTCGCCCCCGCCTTTGTGTAGGCTCCGAGGTCCTTTTGTGGGGGGAGCTAGTGGTTGCCGTTTCTTTTCAGGGGCTGGTTACATGTGCTTTTTTTGGGGAGGAGCTATAGCGCAAAATGGCTGCCCCGTGCTTTTGTGGGCTGGCTCCACTTTTGGTTCGTGTGGGGGTGGTAGCTTCTTCCTTTTTTGAGCCCCAGGTTGCCGGGGAGCTGGTACATTTTGGCCGTGTTTAGTGCTGGGGGGTTCCAAGGCGAACTCAAAAGAGAACCACCCAACCAGTTTTTCGGAGCTCTCCATCCGCTTCCTGGCTCAGCCGCGGGCGCAAAGACTTTCGCCGCCAACGGCCGCAAATTGTCACCTCAGCCGGCCGTGGTACAAAACCAAAAGGGTGCTTCAGGTGTGAATGTTAATCGGTCCCGACCCCTCGGGGATTTGGTGGACATCATTTTTGTGGACATTCATGACCACCAACCACTTTAAGGTGATTCCCTATGAAATCTCGTGGCCGCTAAGGCACTCCTCCCAAATCCAACCTTCAACTCTCCGAATCGGCTTTCACTGCAGCCCACCCGA